CTTGGAAAAAGCTAGCCTTATGCTCCATGTCCGAGTGAAGTGGGAACACTTCAGGAAAACTGGAGGAAATTTTCAAAACCTCACCCAGTGCCGTAAGTGCCAGGGATGGGGTCACGGAACAAAAAAATTAATAGATGCCAGCTAAATGTATGAATTGTGATGATTCCTCTCACGCAAAGGACGACTGTCCTGTGAAGGAAGATCCTAAGAAATTTAAATGTTCAAATCACAAATCCAATTTTTGAGAATGTAAGACTCGCATAGCGATACTACAATCTCGTTCTAAGCGACAGGTAGGAAACGCTCCATGTTTCCGACCAGGTACAAATTCCTCTGGTGTTAACAACGGTCAGCGAGGAACAAATTCTACATTCGTACCCGTAGGTACAAATATCACCCCTGCTTCAAATTTTTCATCTGTACCTACTCCCCTCGCTGCTAACAATGTTCAGCGAGTTAATGGAGCTACCTATGTTGCTTTTGCACCGGGTAGAAATCTAAATACTGACCAACGTAATTCTAACGGAAATTTTGACAATTTTGACTTAGGAAGCATTACTGCCCCTAAAATGGAATTTTTACAGAAATCATTAATTTACAAGATTTCTGATACGCTTGAATCTATCTTAAATTTGCTAACAATAGTGTCATGACTTTGAAATTAGCGGCGCCGGTGGTGTAGTGGTAAGCGTGATTACCTCTCACCCCAGCAGGCCTGGGTTCAATCCCAGTCGGCACCGCCGGGATGTGCTGAGGCAAAACATCTCTGATCACGCGTTCCTTCGGAAGGGAAGTAAAGCCGTTGGTCCCCGGTTCATGAGTTGATGGGTCGATAGGTAAGGTCCAGGTGTGGGAGCTGCCTCCCTGGCGTCGGTAGCATTGGTGCTCAGCACGGAAAACAAGATCGACGGAAAACAAATCAAGGGGATGACTTTGAAATTCAGTAATGGATGTTAAAGCATTAAATATTTTAAATTGGAATGCTCGATCTATTAAAGATAATAGAGACGAGCTATTTAACTTTTTGAGAGTTCATAACATGCATATTGCCGTTATAACTGAAACGTTCTTTAAACCTGACCATAAGGTTAAGAAGGACTCAAATTATTTCATTTAAAGAAATGATCGTCTTGATGGACCCTGTGGTGGCGTTGCCATCATTGTTCATAGACGAATCAAACATAAAATTCTTTCTTCATTTGAAACCAAAGTTTTTGAAACTTTGTGAGTTTCTGTTGAAACAAAATTTGGACAACTTGCCTTTATAGCTGCCTATTTGTCATTCCAATGCGTGGACCAGCAAAAGAATTTTCTCAAGGGTGACCTTCAGAAACTTACCCGTCATATGTCTAAATTCTTGATTATTGGTGATTTTAATGCAAAACACCGCTCATGGAATAATGCTCAAAGCAATTCCAATGGTAATATTCTGTTTGATGATTGTTCTGCAGGTTATTACACTATTCAATATCCAAACAGTCCAACATGCTTTTCTTCTGCAAGAAATCCCTCAACTATTGATTTGGTCTACTGATTCATGTCAACTTTGTAGCCAATTGGTTACCCATGCTGACACCGGTTCTGATCACCTTCCAGTAAGTTTTGAAATATCCCAAGAAATAATTTCTAATCCCAACAGCTCTACTTTCAATTACCATAGAGCTGATTGGGAGCAATATCGTACATTTATGGAATATAACTTCAACCCAAACATTTCTTTGCAAAACAAAGATGAAATTAATTATGCTCTTGAATCTTTGACTACTTCCATAGTTGAAGTAAGAGCTGCCTCAGTACCAAAATGGAAGGTTAAATTCGATTCAATTATAATAGACGACGATCTTCAGCTCTTGATCCGTCTGAAAAATGACCGTAGGAGACAATATCAAAGAACACGCAATCCTGCCATGAAAATTATCTAACAAATTAAAAAGCGATTCTCTACCCTGAGGAACAAAACTTTTGAAAATAATGTTTCTAAATTAGACCCGAGTTCCAAACCCTTTTGGAAACTCACAAAAATTTTGAAAAAACCTCAAAAGCCTATTCCAGCGCTTAAAGAAGGTGGTAAAATTTTGATCACAAATTTGGAAAAAGCTCAGAAATTTGCTAAGCAATTCGAGTGTTCCCATAATTTCAGTTTGGGTCTTACTAGTCCTATTGAGAATCAGGTTGCTCGGGATTTTCTGAATATTTTCTCACGGGAAATTTTTTTTATGATGGTTCCTGGGGGACTGATTTGGATAAACTAAGATCTATAATTAAAAAGATTCACAATATTAAAGCTCCAGGTCTTTTTATCTTCATCTTGTCACCTTGTCTTTCTTGGTAAAATTATTTAACAGATATTTTCATTTGGCATATTTTCCTAATAAATGAAAAAAATGCAAAAGTTGTTCCAATTTAGAAGCCGGATAAGAATCCAGCTGAAGGTTCTAGCTACCGTCCAATAAGTTTGCTCTCTTCAATAAGTAAACTTTTTGAAAAGTTAATTTTGAATAGAATGATGCTTCTAATTTTCCACTATATTATGAAACAAGTTCAAAATTATTTAACTGACAGAACTCTGCAGGTAAATTATTAAAATTCCAAATCTGATCAACTACCTGTAAGAGCTGGAGTTCCTCAGAGTAGCATTCTTGGGTGCTAATATTTTCACTTCGAACCTCCATGATTTGCCTCAGAGTTGCCACAAATCTTTGTTCGCTGATGACACATTTCCGCTAAAGGAAGAAGTTTTCGTGTTATTTGCAGCAAGCTGCAGATATTTATTCTTATTATTTTCGAAATTGGAAAATTTCTCTAAACGCTTCCAAAACCTAACTTATAATATTTCCACACAAAACCTAGAGCTTCGTTTTTGAAACCTAGTAGTAGTAGCAACTTTTTCCCATCACGTAAACGCCTCATTTTTTCATGACAAAATTGCGCATTTTCGTGCACAAAACGCATGGAATTTTTAGTTTAAAAAAAAAAACGAAAATTTATTGGAGGAATTTCTTGCCTAAATTGTTCAATCGTGAGATATTCGCGATCAATCCTATAAATTCGAGATTTTTTGCTTTTTTTCTAGCGTCCTGGAGAAAACCTTGCCTTAATTCGAAGTGATTCTGGTTAATTGATAAGGTCATGTGGTATTCGGTCATTACGAAAATTTGTATGTACCACTTCAAAACTGATACGAATTTGACCACAAATGCTTGGCTTCTGGGAACATTATCAAAGAGCTTTGGGGGTGATGTGGCTGGCAGCAAGGCGAGCGAACGTTCAATTAAAATTAACTCCTAAGCAACATTCATTTATGGTGGTCCTGAAAAGGTTCGTTTTGTCCTGATGGTTAAGCAATGTTGAGCTATTAGGGTGTTCAACACGGATGAGGCTAGTAAACTGTATGTTGTTTGGAACGAGGATGACGCGCTTGGCATAGATGGCCCACAGCGACTCACGAAGAGCTACTGAATTCGATCAGTAGCGGTGCGGCTTCTTCCTCCTTCTTCGGTGAAACGGGGACTTTTGAAGGCAGCCATTCGTTGTGTAGTGGAGAAAAATGTACAACGCCACGCGCTAAAAGCACTGCTGCTGCTGATGATGACGGACTGGACACCACCACACACGGTGTTGAAGGAGCACCATTCGGTGAAACCGGATGGAATTCAATTTTGAAATCTTTGTTAGGAAAAGCGATTTTTTCAGGCAATCGGTGGTATTTAAGATCATCATTGCACAGTTGGACATTTGGGTAATTTTCAATAGTGACCTATTTAAAATTTCTGATGTGTTCATTTTAATAGATGCGTGGATAAATTTCCAATCTATTCACTTGTTTAAAATTAAAATCCATCCGCTATTGACACAGTTATAAGTGGTCAAAACCTGACCACTTTTCGTAACGCAGTCGATTTAGGTATTATTTTAAATTGCACCCCCAATATGTTGCCGAAAAAATGTAATCTTACCTAAAAGAAGAATTCTTAGTTTAACTATTGCTGGCTCAATAACTCAATACAAGTATGACTTGAGACCACCTCATCATACAACCTTTTGTCCCCCAAATCTGCTCAGAAAGTTCACTCCTGTTTCGAAATTCCATTGTCCCCGAGATCGCCGGATACACAAACCCCCACTACGCCACCAATCAACCAGCTATCATCCTTCAGTCGTCGTTCAAGCACGAGGTATTTTGCAGCAACATTTCACCTGACTGCTCGAGCAACAAAAACTACACCCCTCCCCCCTCCCACATGCCACCAACATCCAACAGTTGGACATTATATTTGAGCGAATAAATCATCAGTTTAATGAAATTTTGAGTGCCACCACGTTCAAACACATTGAGGCTGCACTCTGCCCTGTAGGGTGCGATCACGAGAGGTTCCACGAATATTACAACGATGATGGTTGCTCCATCCAGCCTACGAAGCAAAACGGGAATGTTATAAAAATAAAGCTTAAGCTGCAATGAATATAAACTACCTACGTCCAACCACACCCACACACCCATCAAAATTCGGCAATGGCAACGATTTCAAATATTTAATGTTCGTCCCGTAGCCAGCCAGCAGGGAAGAGGTGGACTTGGGCCCGAGCGACGTTCCAAAAAGTGCACTGTTTTTTTTAAATGGTTTATTAACTTTTCCACGTGAGTGAGGGGGAGTAAATTGTTTTTCCTCCTGTGTGACATGAATTTGCTGGAGTGTGTGTGTGTGTGTGTTTGCGCGTGAGTGGATGATGAGTGGAAATTAATTTTTTACGTGATCGGTTTGCGGTTTTGCATTCAACCCCGGGAAAAGTAAACTGCATTATAGGGCTGATGGGACGTGTGATGAATTTTAATCGAAATTGGAATTATTATCCTTTCGTGGCATTTATTGGGATGGCGCGGTGATGGGTGGAGTCAGTTTTGGCGCGAAATTCGATTTTCCCATCAACTCAAAATGCATTGTTAAGCGAATGGATGAGTATTTTTTTTATGTTTACCAATTGATTTTTGTCCTTTTCAGATATTCGGAACGTCAGCAGCGAGCCAAATGATCACCGGATCATAACAAAAGGTATGTGAAATATTCTGAAGTGTAATCATTCGCACCTATAAACGTAATGGAATTTCATCGTTTTTGATTTAATGGATTTTCTTGTTCGTACGAATGCAAATGTAATTTGCTTGTATTTAAATGAGTTAATACTAATTGGCAATTAATGTATGCTGACAAATTCAGACGACTACCGCAAATTTCTTGCATACAAATAATCAATTCCTCGTTGAAATGGCCAACATCAGTCATGATTCTTCTGAATCGGCTTTTTTCGGAAAAAAAGAAAATTACGATTTCTCAGAACTTGACATTCCACTTGTTGTCTCCCTTGCTGAGCCGACATCTGAAAATTTGACTAACGATCTCCACCACACAGAGAAAAAAAAAAGTGTCACATCACTGAATTGCCTCCCAATTCTAAGGAAGAGGAAAAAGTCCGGAAATCGTTCCCCATCAGCCATCATCAATTATATGTCGCAGCTCGCAGGTGTGTAAGAACGACGACAACGATGATGATGACACTTCCCGCAGATCTTTACGATTGTCAGATGCAAATGGTCCGGAAGGCGGAGACGAATCCAACTGGAAAAACCTACAAAAGACCGTCACCGAACAAACCGAAGTGGAGGCCGGGGAAGATAAGTGCTGTCAATTATGAGCTCAAAGCACATCCATTTTCCCACCGGTGTGAGGGGGGGGGGGGAGGGACTTTTTTCGGGCTTCTTCACTCTGAAGAGGAACAAGCCAACGAAATTGGATTTTCTTCGAGTCTCTCGCAGTCAGTCTGAGCTGGCTTGAGCAAATACAAACGTACAGATATGGGAGCAATAATATATCAAAATCAAATTTTGCTTCCGGGCCGATTCCGGAAAATTCATCACTCACGGAAATAGATTTGTTTTGTGTTGGGCACACTCTTGGGAGCGGAAATTCCCGTCATCCGCAATTGCGCCGTGATTTTCGCTTATTTGATGTCTTCACAATTGATGTCAATCACATCCAGATGGGAAAGTGATTATTGAAATGATACAGCATTCGCGGGAGGGAATCGTTAAAGACTTGATAATTTCCGCAGCCGGACGAAGTTGCTTTGGAGCAACCAGTTTTCAATTAACTTGTGTTTGAAACTAGATGCCTAACAGTGGTTGGGTAAGTAACTCTAAACAACTTAAGATATTTTCAGTTTAAGTTTGCTTTAGACACCGGCAGTGTTCGGAAAATCTCATTAATTGAGCTCTCCTTAGAGAGGCATTCACACGCCTAATGTCCACAATTCATTCCAACATAAACTCATAAAAGCCACTGGAACGTCACATGACAGCAAGGACATGTGTGTTTCATTAGTTTTCCTTCGGATAATGCATTGTTCTAAGAATATCACAAAAGATCAATGCCAACGTATTTTTTAATCGAAAATCTCATCGATGATTATTGCGCAGTTGAATTTCGGGCAAAACTTGAAATCTAATAATCTCAATCACGAGATTTTGGTTTATGAATTTATCGCAGCACTGGTCATAGGTTTTCCTCGATGTAACATACATAAGGGCTGCCCACGTGGACAGTTTTTGAGAGGTCTTAGATTTTTGTCTGATATTTTATATTTTACTGGGTTACGACATCAGTTTGAAGATTGGATTTTGAAGTGACTACAGTGAAAATTGAATGTTGAGCGAATATGAAAGAGAATTCTATGGACAGAAATTCTACATACAGTGTACCTCAAAATTGATCGTACACACTAGGAGATTTTTTTTTAAACATGGTGAATATTGTCGTATTTTTTTAAATCATGCATGGTGATTGAAAAGATGTTTATTGATTTATTGCTATAATTGTGGTCTTTTTTGGAGGAGCCTGCATGAAGTTAGATTTATTTTAGTAAAACGCTCAATTTTCAACTTTTTACCTAGTGGACCAATCTTAGTGAAATTAGTGGTAGATAAATGATCTTTATTACGACTAAAAATGAGCAAAATTTCAAGAAGTTATGTTCATTTTATTTCATGAAAATAAGGTTTTCCAAGAAAAAGTCGTTTTCCTTAAATTGCTCAAACTGATTTTGCAAACTCAACCAAATAAGGCCTGTACTCGAAAAAAATGCACCAGACAAAATTGTTCGCCAAAAATTTATTTTAAGTCGAATTTTCTTGAAACCTTCAGGGAATGAACTAATATATATGGATTATGTTTCGGAATAATTACTTTATTCAATTTCATTTCCATCGCTGAAAGCCCGCACCTTTCCCTTAAGACCCCTCATTACATTTTGTGCAATGGTGGAGCCGACCTTTTTGGTCACTTTCATCCATTGTTTCTTCAACTCCAGCTCGTTCTTAAACACCTTGGACGATCTATGAACTTTTGCCTTCATTATGGGCCCAAAATCTTTCCACCGGACGAATCTCTGGTGAATTTGGGGGATTGGCGGTTTTTGGTACAAAAACAATGTTATTGTCTCTGTACCAATCCAACGTCGATCGCGCGTAATGGCATGATGCCAGATCCGGCCAAAATAATGTCTCGCCTCCGTGGGACCGCTTCTGGAGGCACTCGGTGCGGTAAATTTCGCTGTTGATGGTACCCATTGTGATGTACGGTTTACTCAGTTTACCGCATTGGCATATGGCCAGCCAGAGCTTTCTTCTTCCTTATGTCTTCCGGAACATCAAACCGTGATTTGGCAACGTAGAACTCCAGCCCCGGTATCTGCTTTGCGTCTACCTTGATGTAGGTTTTGTCATCCATAACCACACACATCGGTTTCGTTAACCACTCTCGATACAGCTTCCTTGCGCGGGATTTGGCCGCCGTGTTTTGTTGATCACGCCGGTTCGGTGCCTTCCAGACCTTGAATACACGAAGCCCAGCTTTTTTCATGGTTTGCTGAACGAACCAGGCGGAACACTTTGCCTTCAGAGCCGCGTCGCGAATCGAAAAGGTTCGGATTACGCTTGAAATAATCCAACACCTTCCAGACCTTCACAGGGTTTCGATTTTCTTCCACTTCCAGCCCACCGCTCGGTCGTCTGGGACTCCCTAAACGATTTTACCACCCGAGACACAGTTGTATGGGTGATTCCCAGTTGTCTTCCGATCCATCTCATGGTCGCAGTCGGATTTTCCATGACGGCGCGCAGAATTCTCCGGCGATTTTTTTTCTTGTTTCGATGACATCGTTATGAAATTTTGCACACGTAAACAATTCACTCCAAACTAGTTATACCCAGATTTTCATCAATTTTTACACACGGACAAAAAAATTACACATGGATAAAAATGGTGCATTTTTTCGAGTACACGCCTTATGCCCAATACTGAGCCAATAATTGATAAATGTATGCTGAGTCAGCTGCCAAAAATTCAGAGACGTATCTTTTTATCTTGTGCTTTTAAAGCCGTTTTTCTAAAATTTAAATACTGCTGTTCGATCAGTTTTGAGATACACTGTCAATAAAAATTAAAAATCCGCTCGGATTTGACACACTGTTTAAAGAATTTCTTCATAGTTTTCAGTGGAATCGATATTAGTTCTGAGGACTTCCAAGGCGAGGAGAGCTTTAAGCAAAATCTATGGATGGCGTTCAAGATAAGAGGACCACCTAATTCTTGCTGGTATTTCTCAGTCTTAAGAATAATGGAATGACTCCAAGTTAATGTCAATGAAAATTGAATCTTAACATGAATTGTAATGGATCATTATTCAATATTCTGACGATACATCAAAGTATTATTTACAATCATCTAGCTCTATATGCTCCTTTTTGTTTTGTACTGACCGGATTTTAAGCAGTCAGCGTTTTTGTAGGCATTCTCACAGCATGTCCTACTCACTAAGCTCATGCAGCCTCGGCGACCTTCTAGAAACGGAGGAACTTCAAGGGAATACTGGGAGCATTTCTAGGGAAATTTGAGAAGAAATTCAACGGGATTTTGAATCATGGGAATTTGAGATGAATTCTTTGGATAAACGGAATTGTGATGATAGGTGAAGGAGAAGTAATGAAGAGAATTTTCCAACATAACCTTTTGTTAGGAAATGCTCTTCATTACTAGAATTCCAGTTAATAAAACAGCAAAAAGGCTATCTTCCATGTAATTCAATTAAATTTATTTTAGTATCCATGACAGATACGTATTTCGGCTGCAATGTACAGTCTTCATCAGTGTCATTCCCACTAAAGAGCTTATCAAAACCTAACCAAGATCATAGGTATAAAAATGAAACTACAACGTGTAGAATCAGAACCTACCTAACTTATAATAACCAAATATTTAAGTAAGGTAAAGGAAGAAAATCGATTCAAATTTCTAGTGAGGAATTACTTAATAAAATTCCAGATCAATTAAGGGATAAATAATTTTAAAGAAATTAAAGTGGCAGCCAGACTGAATTTCGATACATTATTTTAATAAAATCCCAGAGCAAATCTGAGGATTCGATGGTAGTAATTCTGAGCAGATTTCAAAACTGTAGAGAATTACTTTGATTCATTCCTTTATTTACCATAGATTACATACAATCAGAGTGTTTTTTTCACTTTATTTTTGAAATTTTTAGCCGTAGGATAGTTCGTCTTGTCGACAATCAAAGTGTGTTGTTACTTCGTACGTGAAATGTGCGATATTAAGATTTTGAGGAAATGCTATACTTACTTACTTTGTTTTGATATACTTCTCTGTTAATACTGCTGTGATGTCTTTATTTTCGAAGAAGTTTCCATTATTTGCCCTTGCGTTGTTGTCTCTGGAACTGTTGACATTGTTAAAGTTCATGCTCAATACGTATAAGTAACGTATTGAAGCATGCAAACAAGACATATCATAAAAAGAAAAGAAAAATATTAGTAAAATTCGATTATTATCTCTTGTTATATTAATAAAGTAAAATTAAAGTTTAAATCAAAAGTAATATGTTCTTGTTTCTTATTTTGTTTCAATGATTTTCATATTTTATCTGCTATGCCTTATTATCTAACTTAGCATATGCATTCAAATATGCACAACTTATTCATTAA